TTGTATGGTTCTGCTGCAGTGTGGCTGGCTGGTCTGGCAATGCACAGTTTGAAATTGCAACACGCAGCACACTCCCCCAAACAGTTTGCCCCCATCCCTCCATTGTTCTCTATGGTGGGGAAAAAAGTAATTTTTTTCCCACCAAGCTCCAAACTTGGAGGGTGGTTACTAGAACCTCTCCCCAACACACCCTCCAAGTTTCATGAAGATTGGACCAGGGGGTCCAATTCTATGGGCCCCCAAACAGGTTGCCCCCATCCCATTGTTCTCTATGGTGGGAAAAAATGTAATTTTTTTCCCACCATAGAGAACAATGGGATGGGGGCAACCTGTTTGGGGGCCCATAGAATTGGACCCCCTGGTCCAATCTTCATGAAACTTGGAGGGTGTGTTGGGGAGAGGTTCTAGTAACCACCCTCCAAGTTTGGAGCCTCCAACTCCAAGGGCCATATGATACAATGTTGCCGAATTGCCGCCGAATTTCGGCGGCAAACCGGGAATAAACTGCAGAAGGCTGATCTGGGGGCAACCTGTTTGGGGGGCCATAAAATTGTACCCCCTTGTCCAATCGCCTTGAAACTTGGTGGGCATGTTGGGAAGAGGTTCCAGTGAGCTCCCTCCAAGTTTGGAGCCTCTACCCCAAACCCCCTCCCCCCCAGCCCCCCGCAAAGTTTCAAGAGGATTTTTGCCATTGACTTCAATGGCCCCATTGGTTACAATGGACCCGAATTTTTCGGGATTCCCGAAAATTTTCAGATATCTATGCTTTACCGGTATAGATATTCGGGTTTTTTCGGGTTTCCCGAAAAAATTCGGGTCCAATAAACCCGAATCCGAATTTTACCGAATTTTTTTTTTTTGCACATCCCTAGTGTGCACCTGAAAGCCTCCAAGAGATAAGGTGACCATTTGGCCTCAATTCAATTGAAATTTTCAATTCCTGATGATCTATTAAGAAATAAAACTCAAGCACGGGAACTGAAGGAATGGGTATTCAAAAAGGATGGGCTTATGGATCAGGATGTGATGACACATTGTGTTATGGCACCATTATTCAAGTTTTTTAAAAGGGATCACTGTAGGTCCCTATATTTAGAGAAGTTAACCAGCCTGGAATTAAGATCGGCTTTTACAGCTTTAAGATTCCAATCCATGCCCTCAATGGACATTTCTTTGGTATCCCTGCCCCCCTTAGACTTTGTCTTTGTGATATGGGGGAAGTTGATGATATTGTACATTATATTCTGAGATGCCCATGGCATCATCCCTATTATTCCGCAGGCTAAAGTACATCATCCCTATTATTCCGCAGCGTAATGTACTCTCCGATCTGGATCTGGTCAAATTTTTACTATCAGACCTTGACCACTATGTCTCTAGCAGAATGGTGTTATTTGCCTTAGCAACAAGGAAAATCAGAATGAGTTTAGTATTTAATGCAAAATAGAAGGAGTATTGGAGTATACTGATTTTTTTATTGGTTTACATTACCATTTTATAGTCTGATGTATTATGTTATGGCCTATGGCTAAGACAATAAACTTGATACTTGACTAATAAAGCACATCTGTACTCCTTCTCTGATACACACATATCAATATGGGTATAAAATTTATTTCATGTTCATTATGCAACACACTTACTGATTATCATGGCAATAATCAGAGCATTTTTAAAAAAAACTAGTTATACTCTTGTTGGCTATTGATGCTTTTAAACAAGACATTATGGTACTGGACAAATGCAAACAGCTACGCATCAACATGTATTAGCGTTACAAGGCACCTTCAAGCACCGGTTTGGTCAGCACCTTATCCAGAAGATACTGTTATATGGATTTCTGCATGATTACTCAAAAATTAAAACAGGCTTCAAGCTGGTAATTACAAATACAAACACCCAACAACTAAATTTTAAACAATTAAATATAAAGGATTTCCAATAAAAATTAGAACTGCAAGCTTCAGTCTGTTAATTAGTGATTCTGACAAAGATTCTGGCAGTTATCACCCTTGAATGAACCTTATACAAGTTATCCCCTCCCTCTGGAATTCTGAAAACTGCATTTTCAGTGAAAATTTGATGTCTTAATGATAAAATTTAAAATACATCTGTCATCTGGGTCTACTGGAAAAAACGGCTCCAGGCTACTTGCCTCCATGCATTTAACATCTCCATGACAAACACAGAGACTGATTATGATGGAGATGGGTAGCCACAGGAGAAAATCAAACACATCAGAGAATATTAAAAGCCAACTATTTTGGAAGGAACTCCACAAAGCATCTTCATAAGAAAAACCCTATCCCCAGTAGCCTCTTTCCAAGGTGCTTGCCCATACCACACAGGTCTCCAAAAAAGATCTCAAAAGTCACACAATTTAATGTGGGATGGGCTGTCCTTCATATAACACTGTCCCTGAATTGTGGCCAGAAGTAAACTAATAGCCACTTAAGTATTTCAAGAAGTAGCAGAACATCATTAGTCTTGGTCTACTTAATACCCTCACTACTGTCCTCTACACAAGCTGAAGCACCTGAACAGCCTTCATGAGTAAACCAAGTAAAGTGCATTACAATAAACTAACCTAGATGCTACAGCAAGAACACATCACGTTTTGGCCAATTAGGGGGAGTCTTTCAGAATGTGCAGAATTCCAGTTTCTGTATACAGACTGCACACACACTTCGAAACATATATGCCAACTCCTCAGAGACCTACTTACAGTCGCTTACAACTAAAAAAACAAAATGGACCCAGTAAAACTAGCCACTACTCCCCTCCCACAGTAGCAGTGCAAATGAGAATGTGATCACCCTAAAATTATGTTGATAAAACAATTCTCTGGCCAGAAGCAGCCCAAAAAATAACTAAGACATTTAAAAGCCAGAGCAAAAAGTAATGTTATTGCCTGCGCCTAAAGGGAAGTAAGGCAGGTTCCAGATAAGCCTCAAAGGGGACGACACCCCAGGGTGAGGCACTACCACTGAATAACCTGTCTGAGCTCAGGGGGAGGGCACAGAGAAAGCTTTTAGAAGACAATTTCAACTATCAGAGGCTGGACACTTACAGAAGGAGGCACCTCTTCAAGTGCCTTGGCACCAAGCCATTTATGGCCATTGAAGAACAAACCAGCATACTGAATTGCACCCAGAAACACATGAGCAGCCAGTGCAGATCCTTCTGCACAGAGACAATATGATTCCTGTATAATTCTTATAATAACCTGGCTGTTGCATTTTGGACCAACTGAAGTTTTTGAATGGTTTTCATAAGGCAGTACACAAGAAGCGCATTACACTAGTCTAACTGGATATGATTGTTAACATGGATCACAATCATATCACTTCTCAGGAAGTAACATAGCTGGCATATTGGCCAAAGCTGGTAAAGAGTGCTGTGTGCCATTTGCTGGCCAGGATTCAGCAACACCTTCAGGCTACAAACTTGTTCCTTCAGTGGAAGTTAAACCCACTCCAGAGCAGGTTGACTCCTCAGTCCTGAAGCAGCTTTGTCATTGGCTAACAGTATTTCAGTCTTGTGTAGACAGAGCTTCAGTTTATTTGTCCTCATCCTTCCCATTACCAGGCATCTGTTCAGGATTTCCACTGGACCACCCAACTCAGGTATTAAAAAGAAATAGAGCTGGATGTCATCTGCATAGTGATAGCACCTCCAAGCACCCAATTTTTCCCAGCAGTCTCATTTAAATCTCCTCTGAGGTATGCAGTATCAGCTTTAGCTAATATGCCCAGCTACAGCCATTCCTTGAGAAGTGTGATTGAGCAACAGTGACCCATACTCTGATCATATTCAAGTTTGTTGTTGTTGTTCAGTCGCACAGTCGAGTCCGACTCTTTGCGACCCCATGGCCTTCTTGTCTTCCACCGTCCTCTGAAGCTTGCTCAATTTCATGTTCGTTGCATCTATGACACTGTCTAACCATCTCATCCTTTGCCGTCCCCGTCTTCTTTGACCTTCAATCTTTCCCAGCATCAGGGTCTTCTCCAGTTAGATTACTGTAATGCAGGAATTACTGCCAGGAAACTTCATCTTACCCAAAATGAAACAGCCAGGCTATTGTCACAGGCAGGTCGTATCACCCCACTGGCTGCCCATTTGTTTTCAGGCACAATTCAAAGTGCTGGTTGTTTAAAGCCCCAAATGGCTTGGGACCATAGTCAAGATCTGCCTCATGAGCCCTGCCGCCTTCAGAGATGAAGTGGGTGGCAAACAAAGACAAGCCTTTTCCAGTAGTGGCACCGCCGCTGTGGAATGCGCTTCCTGCTGAGGCTCAGGTGGTGTCTAGACTGCTTTTTTCTAGGTGCCAGGTCAAAACATTTCTGTTCATCCAGACTTTTATTTTTTAAGTTTTAATAATTTTTAGCCTGGAAACTTGTTTTAAGCTTTCTGATTTTATAAACTATGCTTCTGTGCTAGGGTGGGTTTTCAATGCTGAAACTTAATATATTTTAATGTTTCCTTTTTATTATTTGTATATTGTAAACTCCTCAGGCATGTTCTTGGAAAGAAGGCACAAGATTTTTCTAAATAAATACATATTAAACAGCACAGGGGATAAGATCCCTGTGGGATCTTGCAACATAAATGCCATGGGGTCAAGCAGAAGTCCCTCAACACCACCTTCTGCAACAGGTTAGCCAAGTAAGAGAACCACTGAAGCACATGCCCACTAAATCCAACCTCTCTAGAACGATAAGCAGTCCAAAACTGCTCAAGAGATCCATGTAAATCAACAGCAAAACACTCCCTGTCACTTTGAGTGTCTACAAAAAATAGAACTGGCAAAGTACATTGTACTAAGCCTGAGAAGATCCAACCTAAAATCCACACTCACCGTGGAAAAACGTACTGAGTGACCTTGAGCCACCCACTGTATCATTCTTCAAGGAGCTTAGAAAAGTACAGATGTATTATCCTATTTTATCCTCACAACTGTATAGTAAAGGTAAAGGTTCCCTTGCTCGAAAGCCAGTCGAATCCGACTCTAGGGTTGCGGTGCTCATCTCCGTTTCAAAGCCGAAGAGCCAGCGCTGTCCGAAGACGTTTCCGTGGTCGTGTGGCCGGCATGACTAAACACCAAGGCGCAGGGAACGCTGTTACCTTCCCACCGAAGTGGTCCCTATTTATCTACTTGCAATTTCTTGCTTGCGAACTGCTAGGTTGGCAGGAGCTGGAACTAGAGATGGGAGCTCATTCCATCATGCGGCACACTCGGGTCTCGAACTGCTGAACTACTGACCTTCCACAGCCTGCAGTTCAGCGTCTTAACCACTTGAGCCACCGCAGCTCAACTGTATACAGATATACAACTGTATACAGATATACTAAAGGCAGCTTCATGTGTGAAAAGCTCACTGAAGCCTAAACCAATATTCTACCCACTTCCACTTCACACAAAGAGTTATTGTACTAGACAACACTGCATATATATGTTAAGTGTGTATATGCTGTTAAGGTTCTTAATTTGGGACAAAGCGTACCTACTCCTTTATTTATGGGATATTAGTACATACTAAAAAATACATAGTCATGAAATACTTAAGGTTAAACAACTGTTTTCCCTAAAATCCACTTGTTTACCTTGCACTGTAAAGATGTTTTTCTATTGCCCTGTTAACTTGCTGCTACAAGAACAGTTTGATTCCATTATGTATAGGGGAGTGTTCCTTTAACTGCTCTTCTGAATGTAAACAATCCAAATTCCCTGAGCAAACTTGAAGGTCTCACACAGGTCTAGAGGTTCCCCCCTCCCCCATGGTGGAATAAACAATTGCAACAGCTGGCTGTGCACTTCACAATGTGGCTAAGAGCTGCTTAAGACAGAATTTGGACTTCAGTTACATAATCTTAACGGATAGAGTGTGGGCAGGACTTAAAAGATGCCAGGTTTCTTGTAACAGGCAAACTAATTTCTTATGTAAGTAGTATGATGGAGGGACTTGGCACTTGAAAAGCTGGCCACACCCTGAGCTGTGATCAATGAAGTACAGCAGAATGGAACTCCTATTTAAAGGTTCTCCGGCTGAAAATACCAGCCAGCAGCCATTCTTTAGTACTTTGCCTAGAAACTCACACATGTTAAAGCTGTGTAGAAGCCCTAGGAAAAGTCAAGACGCTCTTAAGTTTCCTTAAAGCACAAACTGGTGTCCTGTTCTTGCATGCATGCTGACAACACCCTTGTCCATCTGCAGGCTGAGAAAGTTAATGGGCTGCTTCTGGCCAGAGAATTGTTTTACCAACATAAGCCTAACAGTTAAAACTTCTCTACTAGCACATCCCGTTTCCAAGTAATTCTCCTTAACCCTCTCAACACGCTATCCCTACTAGAGGCGATTTCTTCCTCCCTCTCTCTCTTTCTCTCACGTTCTGCAACAACAGACTCCAGTTACGGCCCTTCCTCCTGAAAGAGCAAACGGGTGAACAGTCGTCGGCACGTTTTTTTAAAAAAATTTGACAAAAGAGAAAGAGGGGCGTGGCACCTATTTCGTACAGCCCGGCCAGTCGCATCACCTTTGTTCGACATCCCTCTTTCCCCCCCCCAAGCGTTAAGACCTGACGCTCACCAAACAAGCGGGGCAACCCCCTCCGAAAGATCGGGCCCGTTTCGGGAAGCCTCTACCGGCCTTCTCACCGCCGCCCCACCCCGCGAGGAAGACCACTAAGGCGCACGGGTCTCCCACGTGCTTGGCCGAAAGCAAGCCTCGGGGGGCTGACTGGGAGCGTCGGAGCGGCGCGCAGGAGACGGAGCGTCCTAAGCAGTGTTCCCTCTAAGCTGTGGAGCCCTGTGAGCAAAAAACTTACTTTGTGAGCCGCTGGCATTAAAGTGGTGAGCGAGCCATTTGGCTCCTGCATCAATTAGTTTGCTCCAAAGCTATCCTTCCTGAGCTAGGACAAAAATGTGTGAGCCGGTAAAACTAGCTCACACTCACTCAGCTTAGAGAGAACACTGGTCCTAAGTAAGGCAAGCGGACCCCCGCCAGCCCTCCGCCTTCCCCACCCGTCGCCCTCCGAGGGTGGCTTCGCCCGCCCGCCCGCCCTGCCCCGCTCACCTTCGGCGTGTGCGGCGTGTCGAAGAGGCGCAGTTTGCGGAAGGTCTTGTGCGGCGGCGTGCCGGGATACTCGGGCAGAGGAGGTCCGGGTCTTGGAGGCGAGGCCGCCGCCGCCGGCTGGGGACAGTAGCGGCGGGGGCCCCGGAGGAGCGGCGGCGAGCCGGCCATGAAGTAGGCGCCGGGGGACTTGACCGGGGACGAGGACCCGAAGCCCTCCTCCTCCCACGAGTCGCCCTCGTCGCCCAGCATCGCGGGCGGCGCCAGCTCCATCGCCACCTCCTCCGGCATCCGCGGCGGCGGCGGCGGCGGCTCTTCTCGGGCCGGGGTGCGGCTCACCGAGAGGGGCGAGTCGGCCTCCTGGAAGGCCGAGTCCTCCCCGGTGCTGTTGCCGCTGCCGCCGCCTTCCTCCTCCTCCTCCTCTCCCTCGTCTTCCTCCTCCTCGTCGTCGTCTTCCTCGCAGTCGCTCCCTCCGCCCGGGAAGAGCAGTGAAGGCGGAACTGCCCCACCTCCGCGGCCCTTCCCCAGACCGGATACACGCGACGCTGACGTAAACAGCCAAAAACACTCGCCGAGGGCGTCCACACGGCCGACCTGACACGGTGAGGCGCGCCTGCTCCGTCCCGAGCCGCCGGCAGAAGCGCGGCCACGCAGCAGCAATCCTCGGCCCGTTCAGACTCCGCGGCTTTCCCGCGACCGTTAGTCACGTGGCGGTCACGCCGGCCAATCACACACGCCCCCCTCCGTTTGAAAACACGGGAGGGCGGGAGGCGGGGTCACGCGCACTGACGTCAGGCGCCCGTTTGGCGCGAATTCGGGGGACGGGAAGAGGAGGGGGGCGTGGTTGGGTTGCTGTGCAAAGGGTGAGGGCCGTGGGAATGTTTGGCCTCGTTCATGCATATTGCAATCAGTGTTCCCTCTAAGCTGAGTTAGTGTGAGCTAGCTCACAGTTTTTTAGCCTCCGGCTCACCCATTTTTGTCTTGGCTCAGGAAGGATGGGGCTCCAGAGGAAACTAATTTATGCAGTAGCCAAATCTCTCGCTCACAAGTATAGTGCCAGTAGCTCACAAAGTAGAATTTCTGCTCACAAGACTCCACAGCTTAGAGGGAGCATTGATTGCAATAGGAGGGAAAGGGAAGCCGTTACCTTCAGGGGGCGCTGAGCAGGCTTATCAAGCCTCGTCTGAGTCAGTTAGGGTGGTTTACTACAAGTGACCGAAACTGGCTGGCTTTAAAGGTGCGCCTCCAGCCTCCGGCCACTGCCTGCGACCGCTCCTTTTCCCTGCTGGCTGAGAGATAAGGGAGCCTCGCTAGAGGCGCACTTGTAGGTAAAACCTGACTTAGGCTACAACGGAACGGAACTATATCCCGAGAGTACATAGTTAGCGTTAGGGGTGCAAGTACGAGCCAAACCTCCTCCGGTTTGGAGCGCTACGTGCCTCTTGACGCTGCCGAAATGCCCGCTTGGGGGGTTGGGGAGGCGGAGCGCCATATTTGTCTGTCCGCAGTTCCTGTTGGGTGGTCAGCCTCTCCTGAGATTGGGGCAAAAAGTAAGCCGTAGTATTCTGCAGGGTTTCCACTTTCGGGAAAGTCAGGGAAACTGTGATTAAAATATATCCAAGCGGTGGAATTTTGACTTGCTGCTGCAAGAGCGTGAATCTGTTCTTGTGGCAACTGGAGAAGAGAAGTAGCAGAAATACAAGTGAAACTTAATGATGCCCTTTCCCAACCATTTTAGATAGAACCTTTATATAATTTTTAGTGCACCTTTAAAACAACAACCCAAATGGGGATGTACTAAAAGGAAGGACAGGATCGCCCATTGGAAACAATGGGAGACGCTGGAAGACCCATTGGAAATAATGGGAGCCAAGAATGCCAATTGAATTGGGCCATCGCGTCTCCCATTGTTTCCAATGGGCAATCCTGTCCTTCCTTTTAGTACATCCCACAAAAAGGTTATGTCATTTGTTAGCATTCAGAGTTTACTTGAATTGAAGTTTGTATCTTGGTGTAATTTCTGGTGCAATTGCAAATAGATGTTGCGGCAGCTAATGTTGACAGAAGCTGATATTAAATCTCTTACTTTGACAACTATTTTTGCAGTTGAGACTTGTGTGGTTGTAGAGTGGAACATTTCATTAAGCCTTGACACGACCTATTCATTTTTTTAACGTGGTTATATTTGAATGGGGGTCAGGGAAATTGACAAACGTTGGTCAGGGCAAGTCAGGGAAATGAAAAATAAAATTTTAGTGGCAACCCTGTTGTGGCACCTTTAAAGGGCAACAGCATTTTATTCCAACATACGCTTGTGCGGTGGACTGGAAGAAAACGTCGTTCGTCTTTAAACTGCCGCCAAGACGAGCTCCTGCGGTAACAGACGAAACCCGACTAACCCCGTGGGATTGTTTTGTGGGCTGCAGCCCCTTTCATCACAAGGCCTGTCTGAAGCCCTTTAGCTTCCAAGGCAGCGCCTAACGCTACCCGTGGCCCTAACCAGCGCCTCCGCCGCAGGGGAATGGAGCCTTTGCAGAGCTCGACCTCCCCGACAAAAAGTGCACAGAGGGCGAATGGCCACGCTGCCTTTTTAAATGGCTCTCCGGCACTGTTCGGAAGAAGGAAGCTGCAAGCGAAGAGAGGAATCGCTAGACTGCCCAAGCAAGAATCGCCCACGGCCATAAACTTCCTACTGAGAACCTGCCTCTTCTCCAGTAACACGATGGGCGGAGTTGCAAACAAAGTCAAAAGCTTCGAACCAGGCAAGCTAGTCGCGCTTAAAAACAACACCGAGCTCCGAGGCCATTGGCAACCTCTGAACACACCATGTGCGGGCGTTCCTTTAAAAAACAATGACTGTAAAACTATATAGAAATAATGAGTGGCTAACTGGAAAAAAACACCACAAATTAATCTTTTTGCTTCCCCTCCCATGCTGAAGCTCCCCGAAGGCTTTTAAAAAAACAATGACTGTAAAAGTATATAGAAAAAGTGAGTGGCTAACTGGAAAAAACACACAAATTAATCTTTTGGCTTCCCCTCCCATGCTGAAGCTCCCCGAAGGCTTTTTCGCCCTGCCTCACTCCTCAGAGTAAATCTCAATTTAGCCCTGTTGTACTGAACACATCCTGAGCTCCCGTTGAACACTGGTTTTGTTTAATTATTATGTAAATTGATTTGCCCTTAGGAAAAAGACATGCAGATGTCTTTAAAAATAGTGATAACGTTTTCAAGTAAAACTGTAGGCTCGTTGGCTGATTACAGCCTGCTACTTTGGTGTTGTTACCTTAGGGAAGGTTACACTAGAAAGGGTAGTTCGATTCAGTTGGGTAAGCCGTATTGGTTTGAAGCAGCAGACCAAAGTCGAGATCCAGTGGCCAACAAAGTTTCTTGCACATGCACACTTCTTTAGATACACTGAAATGGAAGCTACCAGTCCAGACATATAGGTAAAGGGTGAGCAGCAAATTAGCATACAGAGTAATAAAGGTGTTTAACAGATGCAAGGACCAAACTGGAATAACAAGCTTAGTTTATATGGTCACCATTACATTCCAATATAGAGAACAACCTTCCAGGACATTCAATGGGTGACCTCAAAGTAGCTGTTTTATGACAAAGGAACTTCAGGAGCAGACTAGAAAGGGAAATTGCTGAGAACAGTGGAACCCCCAGGACTTAACAGGGATATTGGTTTCTTATCTCACTGCATATGCTAACATCATTTAGTCCTTACATATATATTCTCGCCAATCCCCCAGAAGGGCTATCATCCTCTTTATTTTATTTCTTATTTGGAATAGTGGACTGGAATAATAGACTGTAATGTAATGAATAAGTAGGATGTAATGTAATTTGGAGTGGTAGACTGGAATGTATTTCTCTGGTCTGGGGACAGAGGAGATATACTGCACAGCTAATCGCACCGCCTCAAAGAAGACGATGTCCTACTGTTGCCTCCAGGCTTGAGAGAAGACAGATGGAGTGTGATAGCAGGGTCTCCATTAATTAGTCTCAGCATTGCACAGTTAAGAAGGGCAGCTGCCCATCAATCTCTGGTTTTGATATATTTATTTCCTTCACTATGATTTCCCCCAGAATTAAACCCAAACAAACGGTGACCATATAAACTAAACCTGTTATTCCAGTTTGGTCCTTTCATCTGTTAAACGCCTTAATTATGATGTATGCCGATTTGCTGCAAAGAGTAGGAATAAATGAACAGTTCTCCCAGTGTGGGGAATCCCAATGAATAGCTACAGAAGGCTCTCCACAAATTGGGTAATCGGGCAACAATGTGGCAAATGAAGGTCAATATAGATACGTGTAAAATGATGCACACTGAAATAAAGAATCCCACTTTCAGGTATATGCTGATGAGGT